TATATATATATATATATATATATATATATATATATATATATAAATAGGATACTAAAATTAAAACTCATTTTAAAATTAATATGCTGCACGTGTGATGAAAGTCAGAACAAATACATGATTGTGAGTGTGATATTGATATACAGCCATTAATGAACAAGACGTAGATGCTGAGTAACTTCAGGCAAAAATAGGCAGGTTAGTTAGTTTGTATGTTTCTTCATTGTCAACAAAAATAATTCTAAAAGAAGGCAAAGCATCAAGCTTGTGCATGTCAGATGTCAGTCTGAAATAGTGTATATGTGATTTCTGCTTCCCACTCAAAGCATTCTGTAATCACTCTTACATTTCCCACTCTCTGCACACTTGTAAACCCTGCTTTATGAAGAAAAAAACACATTAAAGGGGTCATATGATGCAATTTCATTTTTTCCTTTCTCTTTGGAGTGTTACAAGCTCTTGGTGCATAAAGAAGATCTGTAAAGGCCGCTCGGCCAATTAAATTCAAGGAACTATTGTGTAAACATATTAATAATAATGCTAAATATATTCAGTATAATATAATGTAAATGGAACTCATTTCTGGTTTAGTGATTAAGATATAAGACAAAGAAATACTGGGAAACACTGTGTTAGACCAAAATACTAAGATGCATAGAACAATGAATGTTTTAAGCCTGTACACAGTAACTGGCAAACCAAAAGTGAATGCACATCAACATCAACACAACAATCAAGATGTGTCGAGTTACATAACAAGGTTCTTTCTAAACATGATGTTAATTGACAGTGAACGCTCAGTGTAATGATATCATCTGGACCAGAGGACTTCCATTTCCTCCTGTGTGCCTATTTGCGGTAATGTTGTTTATGTAAGCAACCCTCTACATTGCGAGTAAATCACTCGCAAATGCGACTAAATCTTACTCTGGACGACTAAATAATGTCTAACCCATTGGCTAATAAATTCTTAGATTTTACACGCCAGTATGTGAGTGGGAGGCGTTCAACATAGATTTTCTGTAGTTAAGACAGTCACATGGGTGGCGTAGGTCTCAAACACAGATCGTGACAAATTAGAACTGTTTCACTACCTGATTATTCTCTCTCCTATTCTTTTTTTGTATACATACTCTCATTTCAGTGAATTATTGAAGTGCACTTTATGGGAATGCCAGTAAAAACTAACACGTTTAAACTGGTAGAGTCAAGAACACCAATGACATTGACATTGACTCAGTATCAAGAACGTCAAGGCCATAGACGCCATTTAAAGGGGTCATATGATGTTGCTAAAAAGAACATTATTTTGTGCATTTGGTTTAATGAAATGTGTTTATGCCGTTTAGGGTTAGGGTTAGGGTTAGGTTGAAAAGTGAGGTGTGCTCTGATTGGCCAGCTATCCAGTGCGTTGTGATT